TGGCGCTTGGGAGGATAGCACACTTGGTTCTTACATGACCTTAAACAACACTACACAAAGGAATGAAGCGATATTTAATTCATGATTTGTCGAGTAAGCCCTGTCAGCTCTCTGAGAGCGCAGTAGTTTTCGGCTCAGTGTCGGCATAAGAACAAAATTCCTATCAGATATGGTGAAATAAAAGCACTCAGGCCTGTTTTTTCTCCTCTTTTTTCGTCTCTTAAAATCAGTCGTAAATCAGTGGCATGCATGGACAGTGTTGCCCAAGCAAATATCAAACTATACAGAAACATTATGGTTAAAATGATCGGATCTCTCACACACTCTTCTCCACGTGACTCCGTGTCTTCTGTCTGTGTTGTAGTGGTCGTTTGATGCGGGACCGCTCCCAGTCCAGTTTCTCGGTGTCCTATAAGAACATGAAGAAGAGTCCGTCCCTGCAGTCACTGGACAACATCTCCATAGACAGTTACTTGATGGAGGACGGAGACACATACAGTCTGCTGGAGAGAGGTGGAGCAAACTATAATGCACTGTCACACACAAATGTACAGTAAAAGGTGTTTGTACAAGAAAATGACCCTACAAGGATTAAGATTTTTAGTAGGATTACTGCACATGTACTGGTAGTCAGCTGTATTAACCAGAAGGTGGCAGCATTGCTTTGTAATGTCAGTAATGTGCAGTGTTGCAGGGGAAGTTTCTTTACTCTTAAGGCAAAGTCAAATGTGGGTCTTGTCCGTGTGAGCAATATTTGTATATCTTTATGTACGGTACAGATGACGTGTCCATCTCAGGCTTCAAGGACGCCATCAGCGAACAGAGTGCCACTGAGAGCGCCGCCGAGGCAGTGATCGGTCCGGAGCAGGAGGGAGGCGTGTCCCCCGACACTGTCAGCGCTACCTCCCAGAGCACTGACGATCCCACCAAAGATATAGTAAGATACCAAAAGTTGGTTTTGTTTGTTTGTTAGAAGAAAGTTTGGAAACTATATCTGGAAAAATACAGAAACAATATTCTGGTACACACACATAACATCAGAGTATTTACTGTAACTGTGAAAAAAGAATTGTTATACTGGCCTGAAGATATAGTTTGTACAGTACTAGAGTAGAGTAGGGGTGGAAGATGTGTATTTTTGAAATGTAGGAACCCTTTCAGACAGCGCACTTTGTATGCTAACCTCTCCTCCAGGTGTCGGTGCTGATGTTGAAGGTGCAGTCGGTGTGCGTGGGCATGGAGGCGGAGGGCGAGAGCACGGCTGTGGCTCTGGAGGTGGGCCAGGTCACACCCAGCCAGCTGGGCAACGTCAGCCTCAGGCAGTACCTCAGCAACCGCAGCCTGGGTAAGAAGAAGTCTGCATACATGTTGAATTGTGTGAAATATGGTGCTTTTTTTTATTTGAGCTCTAATGTGGTGGGTTACAGTTATAACAGGCATTATTCTGTATGCTCTCGAGTTTCAAGGTATCCCTGCCACACTAATCAAAAAACATAATTACAGTGTACGAACAAGATCAAAACAAGACTGATATATTAGGTTTTAGCAGGAAATATGTTCTGTCGACCTACAATTTTAGAGTTTCTCTTGATTGTAGATCAGAAAAGTTAAAAAGGAAAAGTTTATCCCCTTGCTTAAAGCAAAATAGAAAAATATTGCCCAAAGAAGTAAAGATGATGCCAGAGACTGGAGGCTGAATTAAGTAGTGAAATCCTCTATGTGAAGTGAAGCAGTTTATAGAAATAATACCACCACCATTGACAAGTTGGTTTGACACTAATATACTTTTAATATTTGTTTCTGTTTCCATGTTCCCGGTTTATTAAATTAAGAAATATTGCTGTATCATAATATCTCAGTATTTTGTGAACCACAAATTGGCAAAATACTGGAGTGAAGAACAAGCTGGTGCTGTTTTTAAAATGTGAGCTTG